CATGGGGAAGACTGCTGACTTGACAGTTGTCCAAAAGACGACCATCGACACCTTGCACAAGGAGGGCAAGACACAAAAGGTCATCGCTAAAGAGGCTGGCTGTTCACAGAGCTCAGTGTCCAAGCACATTAATAGAGAGGCGAAGGGAAGGAAAAGATGTGGTCGAAAAAAGTGTACAAGCAAGAGAGATAACCGCACCCTGGAGAGGATTGTGAAACAAAACCCCTTCAAAAATGTGGGGGAGATTCACAAAGAGTGGACTGCAGCTGGAGTGAGTGCTTCAAGAACCACCACACACAGACGTATGAAAGACATGGGTTTCTGCTGTCGCATTCCTTGTGTCAAGCCACTCTTGAACCACAGACAGCGTCAGAAGCGTCTTGCCTGGGCTAAAGAGAAACAGGACTGGACTGCTGGTGAGTGGTCCAAAGTCATGTTCTCTGATGAAAGTAAATTTTGCATTTCCTTTGGAAATCAAGGTCCCAGAGTCTGGAGGAAAAGAAGAGAGGCACTTCATCCACGTTGCTTGAAGTCCAGTGTAAAGTTTCCACAGTCAGTGATGGTTTGGGGTGCCATGTCATCTGCTGGTGTTGGTCCATTGTGTTTTCTGAGGTCCAGGGTCAACGCAGCCACATACCAGGAAGTTTTAGAGCACTTCATGCTTCCTGCAGCTGACCAACTTTTTCGAGATGCAGATTTCATTTTCCAACAGGACTTGGCACCTGCACACAGTGCCAAAGCTACCAGTACCTGGTTGAAGGACCATGGTATCCCTGTTCTTAATTGGCCAGCAAACTCTCCTGACCTTAACCCCATAGAAAATCTATGGGGTATTGTGAAGAAGAAGATGCAATACACCAGACCCAACAATTCAGAAGAGCTAAAAGCCACTATTAGAGCAACCTGGGCTATCATAACACCTGAGCAGTGCCACAGACTGATCGACTCCATGCCACGCCGCATTGCTGCAGTAATACAGGCCAAAGGAGGCCCAACTAAATACTGAGTGCTGTACATGCTCATACTTTTCATGTTCATACTTTTCAGTTGGCCAACATTTCTATAAATCCTTTGTTTTTATTGGTCTTCAGTAATATTCTAATTTTCTCATATGATGAATTTGAGATTTTCATTTGTTGTCATTTGTAATCATCAAAATTAAACAAAGTAAACATCTGAAATATATGAGTTTGTATGTAATGTATGAATATAATATACAAGTTTCACTTTTTAAATGGAACTACTGAAATCAATCTACTTTTTCATGATATTCTAATTTTATGACCAGCACCTGTATCTAAGTTCTATCAAATAGTGGCTACGGTCGCTACGTGCTAACAAGCTAACGTAACGTAGCCAGCCTGGATACTAAATGCTATGAAAGTTAGCCAACATCAGTTAGTTTATCATTAGGACATTATAGCTGTTGATTAATGTTACATTATAAACAGCCACCACCAATCTTTCTGTTAACTTACCGTAATGTCTTTGTGTTGAACTGCGACGTGTCTCTTCAGGTTTGTTGTGTTTTTTCCAGCTACCATGTGGCCACATTCCTTCCCTTCGACTAAAATCAAGCATTTGGTTTTGTTCTCCACTTCAATGAAGTGAAAATGTGTCCATATATCACGTCTCCTCTTTCTCCTGAGCCCCAGAGTAGGCTACTCTGTGCCGCCCGCTCCAGGTTTGAAAGTGGGTGTGTGGGAGCTGACAAGGAGGAGGCGGAGCAGGAGATAGGATTTGAAAAAACCATAAAATTATAATATGTAATTTTCGTCTCGTCTTTGTTCGTGAACTAAAATGTCCATAGATTTTAGTCCAGTCTTTATTTACCAAACTGCATTTTCGTCTCGTCTTTATTAGTCAACGAAAAATATTTCTGATTTACTCCCAGTTATTGTTTATTAGTGGGGATTTTCGTCTCGTCTCGTCTAGTTTTCGTTGGGTGAAAAATGTGCGTTGACGAAAATATTTTCGTTTAGTTTTCGTAAACGAAATTAACACTAGTATTCAACTTGTTTTCCTTTTTTCTGAAATCAACAATCACCTGTCTTGTTTTTTCTTTCACATTCGGCATCAGTTACTCTTTTCACACTATGCAGCAAAGAGTTTCACCAGCTCTGTGTTTTCAGCTTCTTGTCCGTCTCTGTTAAACCCCAGCACTCCAGAGTAATTTGTGCTGATTACAGTGCTGTCTTTTGCTGGACGTCTGAGGTGTACAGAGTTAAAGGGAATATGAGAGTACAGTCCTCTTTTGGGCTCCTGTGCTGCTGACTTACACACTTAACCCTTTAGTCTCACAAACTATCTTCTGTTTGTCAGGTAGTCCTTGATCCAGATGATTGTTTCCAGCTCCACCTGAGCCTTCTGGAGTTTCTTACACAGTAAATCAGGCTGGATAGTGTTCAACGCAGTGAAAAATCAAAGAATTTGATCCTGGCCGTGTTGCCTGCAAGTTCATATTGTTGACATGATGTTTTATCACTTTCTGATGTTTCTTTAGGAACTCTAGATGTAACATATGTGTTATGGAAAACCCTGTGCATCCTGTTCATCTTTTGAACAATAATCGAATGTCCTCAGTTAGTGGCTTCTCCATTTATGTGGCTGATAGTACCCTTAACTTAATATATTGTTGCCCAACCTTTTTAGGCAATCACTGCAATCAAATTAATTCTGTAACTGTCAATGATAATGTCAATGTCTGCACCTCTCAGTAGGTTTTTTGGTCCATGATCAAACCTCCCAGGTGTTTCAGTGTTGAAGGTTATCTTTCCAGATGGCATTTTTCAGCTCATTCCTGAGATGCTCAATAGGTCAGGGCTCATAGATGGCCACCTTACTGTTGAGCTTTCCAATCTGTTTCCTTTGCTTCCTCTTGTCTAATCCATGTTGAGTGTAGTACACAAAAAAGCCCTATATAAAGGCCCACTGACTGATTAAGATGCTTTAGACACCAGTGGGCTAATTGGTGGTCTTTTTTTTATTCAACATGTCCCTTAGGTCAGATTATTGTCAGTCTTTTATAGGGGTACCTTCGATTTTTTTTCCAGACCTGTTTCATGAGTTTATTTTTTTTAAATCATTCTGTTGAAACATGTTTGATGTTTGACTTTCACTTTTTCCAAGAATTTTTATTAATTACTTTTGTCAGAATCTAGTTACATCTGTCTCCGTTGTGGGTTTTTCTTTCACTGAATAAGGAAAACCAACTATTTTGTCCACATGTATAACTGTAGATTTGTGATTTGTACTCATAAATAACATTGGTTGTACAAAAACCTTTTGCTTTGAAAGCAGTTTGTAATATGTTAATTCAAAATTACTTTACTTTACTTCACGTTACTTCAACACAACTCAACCACTTCCCTCCAAAACTCTTGGATCATTTTAAAGGTGATTCCTTGCTCTGTGGGCTATAAAATGCTGGAAAAAGCACTTTTGGACATTGAATATAAACCCAGAGATATGGGTAGGGTTTTTTATTGGGTGGGATTTATTTCTCCTTAAACATTTTGTTCTCCTGTTTTCTATAGGTTTACATATGTTGCTGTTAACATTAGCTGATGAGTGAGGTGGATAATCTTGTTTTTGGCAAAAGCACAACCCATGTGTACCAACAGACAATTCTGTGTGACCAGGGGATCGGATTATAAAAAGAAAATGAGTTTCTCTCATCGCATTGATTTTGATTGGGTACTGAACATAAAGTCATATATGTCTCTTAGTACGCACCATAATATAAGCATGGCACATTTGGTTAGTTAAAAATTTTGACCTGACTCATTTACAATTGTATGACACCATTTATAAACTCAAATCATCCATTTTCCATCACGCTTATCCCTGCTGGGGTCGCAAACGGTCTCCAGCTGTCTATGAGGGAGAAGCGGGGTAAACTCTGGACAGGTCGTCAGTCAATCATAGGGCAACACAGAGACAAACATTCACTCACACACTCACATCTAATGAGAATTTAGGGAAGCCAATTAACTTCACAGTCATGTTTTTGGACTAGGGGAGGAAGCTGGAGTACCTTGAGAGAACCCTTGCATGCTCAGGGAGAACATGCAAACTTGATGCAGAAAGACCCCAGGCCAGGAATCGAACCCGGAACCTTCTTGTAACAAGGCAGCAGTGCTACCCAGGCCAAACTTAATTCATTCAATTATAATCATGTTAGATTACACATGCTGTACTCACCATTTTCATATCATATATTATCTACATAACCCTATTATGTTGTCTAAGTTTCTATGGGTCTAAGTTTTAAGTCAAGATATGCTTCAATAGATCCATCAGATGCAAGTCATTTCGGTCTTCAGGCATAGTATCTAAATTTCCCAAGAAACACCAGGGTCAAAGTAACTAAGGATGCCTAAGTAGATCCAACAAATGCTATATTTTTCAGTAAAGCATATTGGGGGTGACTAGTTGAAAGCTGGATACCTATAGTAGCAGCCATTCAAAATGGCCCTTCCCGATCGAATGCCAGCTAAATGGCAGCCCACTTCCAGCCACTATAGTGACCCCCTCCTTCTCCTGGGTGTGTATATTTTTTCACTCTGATTCCACCCTTTCACTGAATTATAGGGTCTGACCAGAAGATGGCGATTCTCTTCAGATCTTAATGTCCACAAATCATAACAGAAAGAATATTTTAGTACAAAGATTGATGTTTAAAAAGGACCAGCCTATCGTTTACAGTGGGGAAATTTTGAATGGCTACTACTGTACCTTATTCACATTCGTAGTAACTCAGCTTAGTAAGAAAGTTGAATTATACTTTCTCTTGGAAAGGGACATGCAGTCCTTTAACTCTTATTTTTTGCCATATATAAAGATTTCAGAAAGAATTCTCACCATTGTGGAGTTTCTGCAAAAATGACACTCGGTCCTTCATTCATCTAAGGTCACGGCTCAGGCGGACATTTCAGATGAGAAACTAATTTAAATATTTTCAGTGGTGGTTGCTGACAGTTTTGTGTTGTATGTTGCAGGTATGCCCCTCAGTCTGGACTGCAAGGCCTTTTTTGGCTACAGCGGGGAAAACAAGAAGCCCATCATCAACTGGATGAAAGGAGAAAAGTATGTGGAAGAGCTACCAGGACACATCAAGGAGAGCGAAGTCCTGTAAGTACAGCAGCGTTCATAAGAATAAGGTGTCACCATATCAAGATGTCAAATCATTATTCAAATTATGAACAGAGAGAAACACTCTGGTTTACAGGTGTCTGTTCTTAATAAATGACTTGACTGCTCACAATGTCAGGAACTAATTTCTTGTGATTTATGACAATGACAGGATTCTTCTCAACTCGACTGAAAAATTATGAATCCCAATAATAAAGTTTAATTGAATTCATTTTCTCCCCTGTTGGGACCAATTACATTGGACTCTACTGGGGAAAGGCTGGTTGTCTGCAGGGCATCAAACATCATTAGAACAACCTGCTCGATCACTATGGCAACCGCTGGTACAATGTCACACTCTCTCTCTTACATACACACACACCCCACACACACACTCACAGTGAGCCTAAGAAAAGAGGCCTTGGCCGCCTGACTTTTTGTTGTGCAAAAAAGCTGAAATTGCTTCTTTTTGAGTTTCACGTAAAGAGGTAAATTACTGAAAAAAAACAACAAATTGAGATCCAACCTTTGATTTTTTCACACTGTGATCAACTAAGCCTGCGTCACTCTTTGTGGAGTACTTTTTTATAAACAATTTGTATTTTTTTATCAAAAAGTAGATATTTAGAGTCTTTCTCTTTCCTCCTTTCATTGGAACCTACTCCACTGCTCTTGATTTATTCACTGGATTGCTGATTGCCCGTTGATAGTACGGGATTGAAGTGAAACCACACAATGTCAATGGCTAATTTAGTCAATATTTAATCTATAATTCTATAGGATACACTGGTATATATATTGATTTTCTTGATTACTACATCCACTGACTGTGGAATTGCCTGTGGAATGTCTTCCCACAGCCGGCACACTGCTTGTTTTTGCAGCCAAATGCTACACATGTAGTCATTTTTACTACGTGTGTCCTTGGGAGTGGGGAGTACCAACATGGCGGATGGTGGCTTCACTTTTTTAGGCAATCAGCAATCCAGTCAATAACTAGAGATGAGTGGTCTACTGATTTATGGGTTTAAGAATTTCAAAATGAGTTAAGTTATACAAAATGACCAATGGAATACATGGGATGAACCAGCCCATTTCTCCTCGTGCACGCTCTGTAAAAGTTGCTGATCTCATAGCTCAAACAAGTTTACTGTGTCTGAACGTCCGCCCTAACCCCTACATTTCTCAATCACTATATAGAGTGGGCACTATATAGTGGACTTTATAGTGGAATCAGTTAACTGACCGTTCAGACCGATCACTGCTTTTTGCTCCCAGTTGGTCACGTAACTCCTCCTCCATGCGTTCCTTGCTCCATCTTTGTTATTAGTCGCTACTGTCTTGTAGCAGCAGCCTATGGCGACAGCAGGCCTCTGTGACAGCAAATCCCATAATGCTTTGCCAGGAGAGCTCTCCTGGCAAAGCATTCTGGGATATATCTGCCTCTTCTGATATATCTGCCTCTTTTGAGGCCTTTCTTTACTTCTCATACACTTCGTAGACACTTTTTCTCTTTTTCACCCAGAGCCTAAAAGGGGTGGGCATTTATCATTTTCATTTAATATACTGATAGGAACTTTGATTTTCATCTGATAGATTAATTGGAATTAATGAAATTTAAAAAATCTCCCCAATATGAGTGAATTGTCAAAAGTTTTATTTTTACATTTTTTTCTTTATTGATTTCTTATTTCATTGGGGGATTCAAAAAATAGAAAGAATTTGATGAATTGCAGTTACTGTGGGGGTTTGATAGCCAAGGTTAGGGTCCAAATCCCACCTCCTATTGTACGAGGTGACGTGAAGGAGCTTATTTTAAAGGGGAATATTTTTTTTATTATTTGTGATTGTGGGGCTATTATTGGTGTTGCAGGCGATCACTGCCATGAAGTATCTATCCGAGTAACGTCTGCAAATAAGTAATGACGACTCTACTTTATCGTCAATTTTGTTAACAATATCACAATAGTATTACAAAATATTGTGATACTATTCAGATATTTTAGTGTCCTAACCCCGTTAGGGTTTCATCTTTGAAGTTTCCTAATAAGGAGCATTAAATATTAGTGGCAAAAACATAAATATACGCAATAATTGGCTGAGTTGATGGTGATCAAATTAAATTCAGTTTATTTCTATAGCGCCAATTCACAACACATGTCATCTCAAGGCACTTTACAGTTCACCAGATCATAGTCAAAAATTCAAAGCTTTCTATATAAGGAAAACCAGCTGATTGCATCGATTCATTGACTGGAAGGCAATCCCTCACACTAAGCATGCTTGTAGCGACAGTGGAGAGGAAAAACACCCTTTTAACAGGAAGAAACCTCTAGAACCAGGCTCAGTGTGAGCGGCCATCTGCTAAGGCCGACTCTACAAAGAATGCTCTATCAAAAGGCTCCTCCTGGTGGCTGCTTCGCTGGGCCTGGCCCCCCGAGGGTCGGTTGGTGCCCCCGCTGTGGGGTTCACACAACGTACACATTTTTTAGTAACTAGAGCACATCAATACCAATAACACATTTAAGCACATGGTTATTTTTTAAATAGAATCATTGAGGGTGTTTTTTTCCTCTTATTTCCGCCTCTTTATCTTTTTTTTCCCCATCCATCATAGACAACACCTTCCATCCTCCGCACCAGTCTGTAGAGGAGCTGAGCAGCTCCTTCAATGAAAGACTTTAACACCCTGTTTGTAAAAAGGAGCGCTACCACAGGTCATTCATTCCTGCTGCAACCAGACTCTACAATGCAACACTGCAACCACATTAACTTGTGCAGTTTATAATGTGCAATTACTATTTAATACCCTGTGCAATAATATTTTTCTCTATATTTGACCCCTAGTGCAACAACTATATTTACAAACATAAATACCCATCTATATAAATACCTTTGTAAACATCCTGTGCATTAACCCTGTATAATGATCCTACTATAAAAAAAAAATTGAAATTTAAAAAGCTGCCATATGTGGATGCACTGTATATAATGTTTATAACCCATGCACCTTTTTCTTCCTTTTGCACATTCTTCTCCTTTGAATATTTGAGCTAATGTAACAAGTACATTTCTCCACTGTGAGATCAGTAAGGTCAATCGATCAATAAATCAATCTTAGAAGTCCAGTACACTGCAAAAAAATTGAAATCTAAATAAGTATTTTTTTCTTAAAATAAGTGCATTTTTTCTTAAATTGAGGACAGGAGTAAGACACTTTGCCAATGGAACAAGACAATTTACATTTAACATAACAAAAATTGCATTGTCTTATTTCAAGTGCATATTAACTAATTATCTTGTCTTAGTAAAAATAATCATTCCATTGAGAAATCATCTTATTTACCTACTCAAATTAACGGTAAATACACTTAATTTAAAATTTGTTACTTATTTCTAGATAGTTTTTGCAGTGTAGAAATTAATTTAGAAAGAAAGAGACAGATATTCTTATGGCAAAGGAACCCAAGAGCTCAGTAGTTAAAATCTAAAAAGGTTGCCCAAAGACTCTTTTTGGCTCCTTCTATTTGATTCTCTTAAACCATTGGGAATGAATAGCTTCTTCCCACAGCAGTGCTTCACTCATTCAAAGTTTAACTATCTTCCTGCCTGCCAGTTGATTCTCTGAAGCTTACGCTAAGATGGGGTGCAGCAAGAATGAGTTATGAAGAAACCTCATCAAATTGAGTTGACTTCATAACTTCATGCAGCTTCTCTGCCTGTCAATACTGTTGCATCACAAGAGCTGCAGAGTCAGACCTCAAAATATTTCAATGATGCATGAAGGAAAGAAATAGTTGCCAAATCAGCAGGTAGCCCCTCAGGTATGTTGGATCAGCATTTACAGTAACATTAAAGGCAGAAAAACAATGTTTTAGAACAGCTTAGGATTCATTTTCTGTCAAATGGTGTATATACTCTCATAAGACAATAACTTCTATCAATTAAGAACTTATGGAAGCTTTAGATTATCATTGAAAGCTTCAGAAAGAAGACAAAAGGAGATTATTTTGTAGTTGTTTAGATCTAGTGTGCATTTTCTGTAATCCCCACAGGTGGAGTAAAGAAGTGAAACAAAATTGGGGTCATGATGGATGGCTTCTTTTTTTTTTTTTTCATATGAGCTTGCTTAAGTTAAGTCCATCCATCCATCCATCCATCCATCTTCTTCCTCTTATCTGGGGTTGGGTCGCTGGGGCAGCAGCTTCGGTAGGGAGGCCCAGACCTTCTTCTCCCCAGCCACTTGGGCCAGCTCCACCAGGGGAATCCCAAGGAGCTCCCAGGCCAGTTGAGAAACATAGTCCCTCCAGCGTGTCCTGGGTCTCCCCCTGGGTCTCCACCCGGTGGGACGTGCCTGGAACACCTCACCAGGGAGACGTCCAGGAGGCATCCTAATCAGATGCCTTAGCCTCCTCAACTGGCTCCTCTTGAGGAGTAGCAGCTCTATTCTGAGTCCTCCCTGGATGACTGAGCTCCTCATCCTATCTCTAAGCGAGATCCCAGACACACTATGGAGAAAACTAATTTCAGCCGCTTGTATCCGGGATCTCGTTCTTTCAGGCATGACCCAAAGCTAATGACAATAAATGAGAGTAGGAACGTAGATCGACCGGTAAATCGAGAACTTTGCTTTTTGGCTCAGCTCTCTCTTCACCACAACAGACCGGTACAGCGCACGCTTCACAGCAGACGCTTCACCAATCAGCCTATCGATCTCCCACTCCATCTTCCCCTCATTCGTGAACAAGACCCCAAGATACTTAAACTCCTCCACTAGGAGGAGCTAGCTCTCACCCCTGGCTGCTTTCATGTACTTTGCTGAATTGACGTGCACTTGTAGGTCGTTGGCACCTTTATTTGCCACAGACACATAAGTGCCTGCCTTACATGTCAAATACTCCACCTCATGCGTCTCATGACCCTGGCGAAAACATAGGAATTTTTTCTTTAACTCATAAACATACACTTTCATTTAGGAATTGTCGTAAAACTGGCGGACA